AGAGAAACAGGGAACGCAAATAGAATAGAATTACGGTATCATTCCAAGTGTCTGGGGGTGCCAGTGGATAAGAATAGCACGACCTGTGGTAATACTTTTACATACACCTAGCACAGGGATAACCTTCCACATTCACAAGTAGATACACAGGATTCGTCATCCTCTCTGCAGTTGATCAACAAAAGAGACTGCTCTGACCATCTCAGTGGCCATCATCCAGCAATGTGGGGAAAGCAGAAGGGTCTTGTTTGACACTCTTGTGGACGGTGGACTCTAAAGACTCCAAGATCATCCGATCGGTCAAGGGTCAAAGACTAAAACTATCAAGGGCTTCACCCGTGTGGATGAGTATTGTCTTGGAAGGCAAAATTATGAGGTACGTATTGTACTTTCCATCTAAATCAAGTAGAGCTTCTGAAACATTCCCATTGACAATTATCTAGATACTCAATTCCGTCTGAAAAAGAGTGATCAGAAGAGCACAGGCAGATTTTCGGCAACCTTCAGCTTTGATGATGATTGACCCTGTTGGGTGCCGCTGTGGGGATCGCCCAGGGGCTGGTGGAGCTTTGGCTTGGTGCCCCTCCGGCCTTGGGAATAAGGGCTCAGTCCCTGAGACCCTGGGAAGCGGTGGCTGTTGTTGTTGCTGCTGTGCGTTATTGTTTTTTCTCTAGGTGTGCTACCTCTCTAATTTACGTGAATAAGCAGTGTAAGTAAAGATAAGTTCAACAGTGCATCAGATGTAGGATTAAGAGTTAAGTATGGTCTTGGCTTGTGGTGATTACAATCCACCTTTTCCTGAAATCTCGACCGGGGCGGGAAAGCAATCCAGACGGGTATTGATTTGGCATTCATGGTTCACTAATCAGATCATAATGCATTGATTCCATCTCTCCAAACCAAATGTACTAGAGTCTGAGAATGCACAGGATTTGCCAGCACATACAAAACACTGTCTCAGTATTTGTGTCGTGGTCAGCTGTGGAATAATGTCCATGGTCAACCTAGATTACCTGTGTGACAATACTTGCTGTTGACTAATAACAGCAAAGACAAATAAAAGAAAGCTCTCAAAAAGCCACTCCAATATCATTTGATATCCGGTCTCCATTCTAAGCATTATTGTCCAGAGAAAGACAGACCTACTCTCAGAATCTTGCAACTTGATAACATCCCACCCTCACCAATAATACTACCAGCATGGACTTTGGCCAAAAATAGCCCAGGTAGGCAAGTTTGACGTCAATCCATGGACGCCACCAGCCTCTTAGAAGAATCCTGGCACTCCACCTGTCTGATTGGGTGGGGATAAATAATCACATTCCAAGGGAAAAGATCGGAGTGAGCATGTTTCATGTTATCAGTCACCACACAAAGGTATCTAGGCTTTATGCACTCCTTGAAATAGCAGACTTGATCCTCTCCAGCGTACAGCTTGCATTGAAGAAGAGGAGAAAGTAACCATGAATATCTGCTCAGATTCCATAATAGGGGATATCACTCCATACCTTACTCATCACAACAATCATAATAAAAAAGGTTTATTGCTATTGGTCTCTTGACTAATTTCACTCTGAAACTCTTAATATCCATCTTTTTATAACAGAACAAGCACAATGAATACCTTATGATTAATCTCGTGCCTTGTCCGAGCGCAAACGAGTATTGTGGCAGCCTGGCTTGTCCTAGCTGGTCTAGACCTGCCAACAATGTTCTAGATTACCGCCAGCGACGCCTAGCCTTGTCCTCGAATAGTCAAGGTGTCAGACTCGATTGGCTATCTTCTTAATTATTAGACGGATTCTTTGCTTTTGCTTTCAAGAGCGATTCATCTTCAAGTCTCTGATAACTTTGATCCCCTGGTTATGTTAATTAACGAATAGAGTCGGTGGAAGCCGCGGTGTCCTATTCATCCACCCAGGGATATATAACTGACATACGGAAAGGCCGTCTTGACGAACACCTCTACCAACCGATAGAAAAGCGATGGACATTATTGGGCCTGACACAATGCAAAATATCAATAGTTAAACTTCCAGCGTGCTCAAAAAATAAGGATCAGTTATCAGGCAATTCTCGGTCCGGTAGCAGCTCCTAGAGTCAAGAGCATACTCACATACATTATATGATAACCAGATATATATATAAACTACCTGTCCATTGCAGTTCCGTTGTCAAAGCATGATTCTAGGACCACAGAAAACCTCAATTTATTAGTTGTAAGTTAGGACAGCGAGTATCAAGATTACCAGCGGATGATCTCAGTCTCAGAGCGCAATATTACCAGTTTATTACAACAGTACTCTCATGATATACTCAGATCTGCCTATCAACCCTACTCCCTGGGACATCCCATGCACATTAACGCATCCGCTTCGGATCGATCCCGTTTGCCCGCGATTCACCTCCGTCCATGGCTATTTGCTTTGTGCATCGCCATGTAGGGACTATTAACCAATTCAGTCTCCTGAATAATGGATAGGGTACCCCGGACTTTGGTCAATCAAGCTTCGGTCCTGGATGCATGAGTATATATCTATCTCCTAGCCTCCACAAACACAACACCTCAAAAGATCCACTAACGACTACGCATAACTGAAGGACTAATAGCAAAATGTCCTCTCCATCCCCCGAGTATGTCCTAGGCGTCGGCGACCCGACGGCGCCGCAGCTGCTGTGATCGTGTCGCAAAGATCCCTCGATGCCCGGCCGCATCTGCACTCGCACGCCGTCCGGATCGCGGGCCAGCAGCTGCGCACAGACAGCCCCCGTGTCTACAGCGGTAGCTCCATCGAGCTGCACGATGCTTCTCGACTAACGAGTTGATCCTGCTGGATGCGCGCGAGTTTGCGGCCCCGGAAAGGCTCACGAGATGGTCCGTCAAGATGATGGCAAGGGGCCTGTTGTTAAGCTGTCCGATGGTTTGATTTCGAAGGGCCACCCGCTCGGAGCGACTGGGCTCGCGCAATGCGCGGAATGGACGTGGCAGTTGCGTGGCAGGACGAATATGGACGGCTTGTTGACAACTGTCGGGTCGCTTTGCTGCATAACTTGGGCTTAGGAGGGGGAGGCGTGCGGTGGTGGTCGCAGTCTGTCAGTGAGCGGATGGGAAGCCAACGAATGTGTTTCCGATGAGGAAGTCGTCAAGCTGTCGGGATTAGGTTACAAGCACGATACATGACGCCACAGCAGGGAGAGTGTGTTACGAGCAAGGCAATGCTAGTGAGGTACGTGCTACAGGAGATGGTGGACAAATTGGCAGCCAGAATATAGGATAAGACACGGAAGAATGAGAAATGTCAAGGCTTCATGATCAATGTTGATTTGTGCAAGAGTTCTGACGCCTGGTATTACATGAATGATGATTTGACAACGCGCCGAAGCACTGACTGCTGAAGTAGACATACATTTTAACCTCCCTATCGCGGCTCCTCACAAGCTATATCCATGCCGTGTTTATTGCTTATTCCTTCCGTTTCTTTTCTAGCTTATCCGTCCCATGCAGCCAATCTAAAAGGCCGATGGACCCATAGTTCAAGTTGAACTTCTCATGATGCAAGTCGTGCATTTTCGCCTTGTTTTTGAAGAAGTCGTACCCACTATGTACCGTCGCAGTGTTGGCGAGCTCGTAAGCCAGGAAGGCCCAGAAGGTAAGGATATGACTCCTCAGAATTTGCGGTGGCAGAGTGATTGGAAGCGTATTGGCCACAATGTGTTCGATGGGATGTGCATACTGCGCTGCCAGCGCGATGGGTGCTGTGAATTTATGATGCCGCTTGTGGATTCTGGCGTAGAAGAAGGGACGGTGAAGAAAACGGTGACTGTAATAGAAGAGCGCCTCTCTCAGAAGGAGACTTAGAACGAAGTCACGAATGAATTCTGTCAGGGGTGGCAACGAGGCCTGGATTCGAAATGCTGAAGACCCCCGTTTGAGAACAAAAATTTGGAAGAGATGCAGGCTCATGGACAGCACTGAGTTTTGTACCACTATCACGAAGCATTGCCAGATATCACTTCGGCTAGGCTGTCTGGGTGCTGGTTGTAATTTGTGCCGTTGCGAGAAGGACGGAAACAAGGCGTCTAAAGAGAGGTAGCAGAGAGATGGAAGCCAGAAGGAGATGACTTGAACCAGAAATGTGCCCACAAACTCGATTGCCTGCGGAGGGTACGAGGCGACAATGCCTTTCCACATGCTGTCCATGTTGAAGATTTTGAGGGTAAAGTTCTGCTGTGAGCAAAAGCGACTCCAGGAAATTTGTGGCAAATGAGAGGGTCGTAGTAAGAATGAAAGTTGATTTAGAGAGCTATCCTGGACAAGCTCTTTCCATAGCGCATGGTTTATATCCTATCTGTGAACGTATCGTCATATGAGAATCTGGAGATGTCAAGGTGTTGCCTCGGTAAGCTTCATCAACCCCAGATGAAAATCCGCATTGATCCCCGCACGTTTAGAGTGGCTGCAATAGCCGAACACGATGGACAACCCGCATCAAACTACTCCCAATTACTACCATAGATGAAAAGTGTGTGAGACGATTATGCTAGTATGAAAAGGTCCCGAAGCCAATTGTAGCTCGATGACAGTGCATTGCGCTGCACAGCTAAACACACTCCGATCTGCCCCTGCAGAGAACACTCCGGTCTGCCACTTTAACATAAACTGCAGTTGTCGAGTCAAAAGGAAATGCTGGCTAGGCGTTCGTGGAAGGAAAGCCCCAGCAGGTGTTTATGCTGCTGCCCGACTGCAGCTTCCAGATGCAGGAGATTCTGCTCTTTCCGTAGCTACTGTGGAAAATGTCCTCTATAAACCCTCCCCAACAAAGGGTTGAGCTTGTTCCTCAATCGCTCCAACACTGCTTTTATGCTTTGAAAGACAAACAGTTTAACAGCCTATCCTTTCAAAATCATCCTCTCAAGACTTCGCATTTGAAGATAAGAATCGCTCAAGGTATGACGTCGAATTGCCGGCGAACAGGAGACTTTCTGACCGTCACTCGCAGATGCATCTTATAGCTTTCACGTTCAGCTGCCTTATGCTGGTGGTCAGCGTCAAGGCCCAATATGAAAAGCTTTTCACAAGCGGACCAGCTTTTGCCAACTACCCGTACCCCACGATTCCTCTCAATTGTTCCGAGATTGGCCCATCAGGCTCGACTCTAGGTGTCGACCACATGGAAGGGGGAGCAGGATTCTTTCCGGCCCTGGAATGGCCTTCTCCCTCCAACAATATCCGAGAATATGTTCTTGTGAGCGAGGACCCTGATGCTCCTTTTCCCCATTCGGTCATCCACGGGCTGTATTACGGGATCCCACGCGTTTTCACCGGACTTGAGCACGCCGACTTCCAAGTGAGCGGAAAGCACAATGACTCATATCTGCTCGAAGGCGGATTCAAGTACGGACAGAATAGACGCGATACCGTGTATCTTCCGCCCCGGTCAATGCCGGGACAGGGTCCCCATCGTTATTTCTTCGAGCTCATTGCACTGAGTGACCCGATTGATCGAAGCAGGCTCAGCGACAGAGCGACCCTGGAGGAGATTGCCGTTGCCATTCATGGCAGGGTTGTCGGATGGGGTGCCTGGGTGGGCGTAGTCAAGAATAAATGAGGGCCCGAAGGTTATGACCGAGTTTCGATGGTGACCAACATTTCATCGGGTGTCCAGTTTGGCTGTTGTTCGAGATTCCCGGACGACATGCTTCGATATTGAGGGTCGGCAGTGACAGCACATTACTGTCCGTGTCTTTGAAGCTGTCCTATGACTGTCTGCTTTCTGATTTTCTTTTTTTCTTTTTTTCTTTTTTTTTCTTTTTTTCAGTTCATGTTCTATTGTTAGACCAATTAATCCAAGGCTTTCACAATTAGAAACTTGGAATCGTCAGCCGCATAGGTACTATTGTTCGGAGTAAGGTAGGTTTTCATCTGGATCAAAGTCGATGAGCTCACGACTCACTAGAGCGCTATCGTCGATTGGATCAACACTCACAAATATAACGGTGCTGCCAGCCTGCCAGAGTTCGGTCCTAGGCTTAATTATGTCTTGCAGGCATATTTATAGAAAGTAGTATGGTTTGGCAAAAATAGTGCCTGTGTCTCAGATTACTGGAGACCGAACCTATACGTGCTCCATAAGGAGTGTGCTTCCACCAAAAAGAAGAGGGTTTCTTGGCGTTTTGCATAATACCAAAGCACGATCTCAAACGACATAAGTACCTAGTTGCAGTAACTTGCTTGTGCTGATGGCCTGCCAACTGCAGAGGTACAAGGTAGACATTGAACTAACTGATATTATTATTAAAGCAGTGTGATTCCACTGACTGATCTCCTGAAAACCGAGTCTCAATTAAGTACCAATCATATCATCGAGCGTGTGGCTCCACTCGGACAAGCCACAGCCGCAAAAATACCAGCAGATCGAGATCCTGTTGGAACCACGCAAGTCACCACTTGTCTGAATGCGGCATCAGCATCGAGAGGCCTGGGATGAGCTCGCCGTATCCGGCTTTTCGTCCTGATTTCCAAAGACTGGCTCATGGTTGAGAGGAGAAACGACCAGGAGATTCAGATTCAACATTGCCAGGAACGAGCGTGCCAGTACAACCGTCTGGCAATAATGGAAGGGTTCAGGAACGAATTACATCCAGGGATTCTCTTGTCTGTTTCCCTGGCCTAGGATTTTCCATTCCACTAAACGTCTGATGGGTTTGAATGGCTTCTTAGCAGCGATCAACCGCAATAAATGCAGTCATTAGACATTCAAGTTATCAAAAATGTGAATGAAGGCTTAAATTGTTGCGTAAATCTGATCTCATGCTTGTGTGTGCTGTTTGATTGGCTGTGAGAGGATTGCTAATGGCGCTTCGTCCAGGTTTCCGAAACCGAACCTTGACAGAACCTCCAGTTGTGTTACGGAATAGACCAAGTTGGAACTGGATGTGTTGGCCTTTTTTTCCACCCTCCCCTTTCCTTGGTTTCGTTAGTCGCTAGTATCTATTGGTGTTACAGTGACCATGGTCACTTTGAGACATGAAGATAGTAACTGGGATCATGACCAAATCCTCAAGTACAGTCAATACTTGGTGAACATGACGGGAGCAATAGAATTCAAACAACTTGGATGAATTTTTCAAATATTCTAATTATCATGCTTAAGGTGGTGATACATAGGTACTATTGGTAGCAATGATACTCATTCTGTTGCTTCAGACGTACGATGCAAGGAATGGTTTACGGACTTACAGTGGTCTATGGTCGGATGATAAGGTAGTCGTAGCATTGCCACCTTCTCACTACTTCTAATACTAAGTAAGCTACGTAGCCTTTGTTTTGCTGATGTCTTTTTTTGGTGGTAAATGTCCGAGTTCTGCTTGATTTCCATGGCTGATCCACAGGCAGTGCCAAGGTGCAACGTCCTAATTGGTTGTTTACTCCAAGCTCGCACTGAATCCGAAGCCGAACAAACGAACTTTTTGGACTCACTAATCTTAGGCCTTCACTAGTCTGGTTTTTTTCTACAGTTACGCATCCTGCATCCGCAGGCTCCAAAACCGGGAACAAACAAAAGGACCCGGACGCCTTCTGGGGGCTCCTCATCTTCTCTTCTTGCATGTATTCTCTTTTATCACGAATTGGCGTCTAACTTGCTGCAACTGCCATTCGTCAAGCCGCTTACCTGACGCATAGGTACTGCCTGACGCATACTGGCTGCTAATCATAGAACTTGATAATCAATCGTCTCGCAGCATTGCATCTCACTCGCATCATCTCAGTCTACTGCTGAATCAGGCAATCTTCTGCATTTCATCCAACCTCAACTCTCCTTCCCATCCTCACACCGATTGTCCAAGACACAGGTTCCTCGTACATTAATCATCATGAACCGCTTAATTCGCTTGCTTTGTGTCTCTCTGGTTGCGTCTTCCGCTATCGCAGCTCCAGCTCCTGAGCAGTCCGAGCCAGTGCTGACGACCAAAGACACCTTCTTTGAAAACCTCAACAACATCAATGAGGCATCGATTCACAAAGCTCTACACCTCATCGAGCGATTTCGCCATGGCGTCTTCCCCACTGACAGAGACGCCGTTGATGCCATCCAGAAAGAGGATCGGTCACTGGCAGCTCATCTGAACATCGTAAGAGATGTCAGCAACGCCACCACGTCTGCGGGCAATTCCCCTGCAACGACCCAGGCGCCTTCGACTACTGCTCAGCAAACCACTTCAGAGACTCAGAACCCAACGACTAGCACCACCGAGTCAACTACAACGACTTCCACCCAATCCAGCGCTGCTCCTACCACTACTTCTGAGACGCAACCTACTACTACAACCACCACCACAAGCGAGACCACTCAGTCGACTTCGACTTCGTCTACTCAGAACACCCCCGCCCCCACCACGGCTGCTCCCACTACTACGACATCAACCACCAGCTCGCAAACCCAGACAACTCTGACAACCACCTCCTCCACAACCGAGGCCCCAACCACCAGCAAGACTTCCACCACCCGTACCCCCTACACCTCGACCTACAAGAGTACGACCACCCTCCCCAATGGCCAGCAGAGCACCGTCACAGCCGTGACGGTCGTCTACCCCACCGGTGACAGCTCCAACCAAGCCGCCACAACGACCGGTCCGGCCCCCGGCCTGCAAACCGGTAATGCCGCGTCCATCACTGGGCTCAAGAAGGAGCTGCTCGTCATGCTTGGAGGCGCCGCCGCCGTGGCTATGGCTCTGTAGACAGCCGGCCAAGTCGGCAGTGTCACCTCGAACTCCAATATCCTACTTCTGCGGTTGTTCTCACAGTTTGCGTTCTATTGCATCTGATGGCGTTTACTCCTTGTTTAAATTCTACTCATGACATGACCCCGACCTTTTACGATCCTTTGCATGGTCCCTGGCGTCCGACTGTTGTCTTTCTTTTTGTACATGTCGTCCATATGGTTATACCTGCGGGTTATTCTTGTTAATGCTTTGCTTTTTAGCGCATCATGTCTCTCCTTATCATTGCCAGGACATGGTGATTCTGTCTTATCCACAAGCGTGCATATTTGCAAAGAAGATACGTCTGAAGATGGGTATTCATCTACTTTGATAGATGATATCAGTGAATAATTACAACTCCTCAAGGGAACTATTTTCGGTCTCTCTCGACATGTAGGCAACCGTCGAAAGAAAAAGGCTCTATGCAACTCCAGATCGATCGGGTATGTAGATGTATATACGTAACAGATATCTTTACCGCTCTTCAAATGATCATCAAGAAATCTCGGGTATACGCCCCTCGTCGCTCCCTTCCAGCTTTTCGACTCACCGACCAACATTCCCCTGCCCCTGCCACCTCTCCTCCTCGGTCCAATATCGGACGATACTCTCCCACGCCGGGATATCCCCGTCGCGCAGCAGGGCCGCCACATCGACGTTCAGCGGCGAGTCCGGCCGCGGGTCAGTGAGCAACTGGTGGATGGCCGTTAACGTCGTCGAGAGCGTGTAGACGGGGCTCCAGTGCTCGGTCGTCAGGAGCGTGAGGCATATTTCGCCCGTTGCGAAGGAGATATTGGGGTGGGAGATGCGCGTTGTGAAGCGGATGTTGGGCGGGGCGAGGGGGTAGTTCGGTGGGATGGTGATTCTGAGGCCCCAGAGGCCGCCTGAAATACCCGTATGCGTTAGCGTGGCTAAGTCAGAAATTCAGATTAAGGTATATTGAAGAGAAAGGTATGCGGTTGTGGAGTGGGGGTGAGATCGTGTCGGTCGGCGGACGGCGACCGGCGTCTGAGTTGATTGACTCGCCTTCGTACGGTGTGCCTTTGACGCCCTTCAGGACTGCTTCCCAGTGTAAGAGGTCATCTTCGTCTACTGGGCCGAGATGGAGCAAGGCCTCGTTCGGGGATTTGGTGTAGTCTTTCAGTTCGCGGAGGAGGCGTTGGGTCGTCGAGGTTGACGCCATGGCAGGCAGTTCAAGAATGTGGGAGCGCACAATGGATGGTCGATATCACGGGAGTGAAGTGCCTGCTTCGAGTAGGATATTGCTCCCGACAGTGATATTAGAGTTGAAATGAATGAAGAGTGGGTAAGGAATTTGAAGCAGCTCTCGAGGTAATATTCCCCCAGAACGTCGATAGGACACTTGCACCGAGGCTCAGCTGGCTGTGGCCGTGGGTCTTCCCCATGTCAGCAATAGTTCCGCGGTCTGGGCTTCCGTGGTCGGGGAAACCATGTGTAAGCAGCTTAAGCACCAACTGCCAAAATTTCGCCCCTGTGTACGGAGTAGATCTTCAATTCTTCATGTGAATCTCTTATCCACGAGATAAGCATAATCACTTCAACTACGAAATTACGACAATGCGTACTTCGCGCCCTTCCAAAGAGACGGCAAGTCTTCTGCAGGCTCTCTCGCCTCCTACGCGACGCCAAACGCGTAGCTCGTCAAGGACAAATGTCCTTCAGCGCTTTGCCTTCAATGCTGGCCCAAATGACCATGCTGAAACTGGGCCCACGATTATGGGAGGACCGTCCCAGCAGAGTGACGGTGACGATACTTCGTCACTCTCATCAGTTGATACTGTGGACATCGAGGATATCTTGGAACCTCCCCTGAAAAAGAGAAAAAGCAACCCGAGCAGCCCGTCCGCCCAAAGAACGACACGAACACCCGGCAAGACTCTCACAAAGCGTGAGGCCGTCGAGGTGGAGTCTGCGAAACCAAAATCACGTCGTGCACCAGCCCGCAAGATCAAGGGCGAGGATGGTTCAATCAAGATGGAACCGCCCTCGAACTGGGACACCATCTACTCCATGGTCAAGAAAATGCGGGAGAATAACCCCACGGCTCCTGTGGATACCATGGGCTGTGCGGAACTCTATTGGCGATCATCGTCTCCCAGAGACAAACGATTTCAGACCCTCATTGCATTGATGTTATCTTCCCAGACTAAGGACACAGTGACAGCTGTGGCTATGCAGCGGCTACACACCGAGCTGGGGGACGGAAGAGCTCCTGCGGAAGATCCAATAATCAAGAAAGAAGAGCAAGAAGATCATGATGTCAAGTCATCACAGCCTTTGAGAGATAGCACTTTGAACCTCGAGAACATCCTGGCAGTCTCTCCTGTCAAGCTCAACGAGCTTATCAGGACAGTTGGCTTCCATAACAACAAAACCAAATATATCAAGGCAGCGGCTGAGATACTCCGGGATCAGTATAACTCAGATATACCCTCGACCGCCGAGGAGCTCATGAAGCTACCCGGCGTGGGGCCAAAGATGGCATATCTCTGCATGAGTGCTGCCTGGGGGAAGGACGAAGGAATTGGAGTTGATGTGCACGTTCACCGTATCACAAATCTTTGGGGTTGGCACAAAACCAAGACACCTGAGGAGACACGCATGGCATTAGAGTCCTGGCTCCCTAGGGATAAATGGCATGAAATCAACAAATTACTTGTGGGCTTAGGACAGACAGTTTGCCTACCTGTTGGCCGGAGGTGTGGTGAGTGCGACCTTGCTGGGACCAAGTTGTGCAAGAGCGAAGTCAGAGGACTTCTCTCAAAGAAGAATGCAGGAGTGAAGCTCAAGGATGAAGTTCTAAAGGATGATCACTCAGTGTCTGGAGGGGCAAAGGTCAAGGTAGAGGGGGTGTGAAGCGCCCCGATGGTGAATGCCCCAGGCATAGAATCCGGGCCTAGCTCGGCCCCGTGATGGCGCGTCCCGGTACCGGCTACAGTGTTTATATGTTTGGTCAAAGGAATCACTTCACTTAGTATCTTTCCTTCTTCTCCATCGCGCTCATAGAACACATCTGCTGCTTCTTGCTGCTCTTGTGTGACCTCCTTTACTTCCTATCTCATCCCATTGGTTTCCCTACTACTGATGTACATCTTCCTCGTCGATTGTCTCCATGACGGCTGATAATTAGTCTTACACTCCCTGGCCTTCGAGACGCGGAGCTTCCTTCGGCCTGCCGATCGTCATGGGTAAGTCCTAGCCTGCACAGCACTCGGAGCCCTACTACCTTCCCAGAACAGCTTCTGACCTCTGCAGACGAGTCACTTCTTCAGCGTCATCGCAAGGGATCCCTGGTGAAACCGCTCGATCCTGATGAAGAGTCCTTCTTTGCGTTATGCAAGTCGTTGAGCACAGTCAAACCATCGTCTGAAGGCTCAGACTCTAACTCCAAGGGCGCGGATGCAGAGAACGACACCACAAGCATGTCCGCTTCGAAGAAGGCTGGCAAGTCCCTTTGTCAACTTCCAGAAAATGTCAAGATTCGGATTCTGGAATACATGGGACTGGTACGGCCTTGTTTGATTGACATAACGGCTGAGGCACACAGGGCCAAACAGGCTGCTGACCACACGTGCGACTTGCGTAATGTTTGGCATACACGTGGAAATTGGGCCACCCGCGCTGGTCGACCCTGTGATCATCCACGACTGCCGACAGAGGTGCTCATGGTTTCTCGCGAGTTCCGGGAGGACCTAGGTGCCCTGTTCTGGGCGCACAACCGCTTTAGCTTCGTACTTACCAATGTGAACGACTGGGATTGCTTCTTTAATGCAATTGATTGGGCCGCAGAAGACGTGAGATATTTGCATATCGAAATGCGTACCTGGGACAATCGTTTCATCAAGCCTGGCACCCAGCGCAATCTTCTGCGGCTGTGGTCTCGTTTCTGCCGTTATGCCGCTCAGGATATGGTCAATCTCAGATATTTCAGTCTCAAGTGCAGAGTCAAGGACATGCCAGTGGCCCTCAAGATAATGTCTGCTATGGACCCGTTTCCTACCCTCGCTCATTGTGCTTTTCATTTCAGTCACGTCCCGGAGGAGGATATATGTCCCGTCGTCAAGAGAAATGCCCTGAGATTGACTGGCAATCTCGGAGAGGGACGTGCCTTTCGGTACTTTGATCTGCCCAAAGAAGTGCAGCTTATAGTACTTGAATTCCTGTTGGTGAACCAGTGGGACCCCTATCTGGCACCTGAGGGCCGGGAATCGGGCATCGTAACTTTCCTAGATCGCAAGGCTCTACGAGTAAATGAGGCTCGCCCGCTCACATGCTGCGGCACCTGCTCTCCGCTCCAGGCAGGGTGCTTCTGTGGTGCTCGTCAGACGGCGTACTCGACCACTTGCTCCTGTTTTTCGTCGCCTGTGAAGTACTTCCTTGTCAGCCGGGCATTCTATGAAGATGCGCGCCGGATCTTCTTTGCTATGAATCGCTTCGCCTTCGTGGAGGAAGACCCCGATCTCATGATGGGTTTCATGAACGGTATTCCGACCTCGTCTTTCATGATGCTTCGCCATTTGGTTTTCAAATTCCCGCCGATGCATCGACACCCCGCAAAGCCTAGCCACAAGCCGCACGAAGACTCTGCCATGGTGTCTTGGTCAGTGTTACGCCGCTTCATACGCGAGCATTTTGAACTTTCGCGCCTCTCTCTCACCATCGTCGACTTGGGTACCAAAGCATCTAGTTGGGCAAATGCCGCCACATCTCGGAACAAGTACATGCGGAAGCTGCTCGAGGCTTTTCAGGATCTGCGAGGGCTTCGGGAGTTTCGTGTGTATCTCGCAGATGATCGATCCTTTGAGCTGGTTGCGGAGCGACTTGTTCTGGGGCGTGAGGCTACCAAAAGGCCTTTGGACTTCACATTTCCATTCGTCGAGAATGAACCTTAGGAAAACGGCTCTGTTTCTCTTGACGGGTCGTCTTCGATTTCTTGAATGGGCCGGCCTACTCAAGGTTAGAAGGGAAGATCTCGAACGCTCGGAAAACCGTCCTTACTTTGGTCATATTTTCTCATCCTTGCTGTCATCTGAGCGAATGTATCCAGGTCGGCGAGGTTACAGACGTCTTGTTGATTTGATTTCAAAGTGAAGGAAATTTCAAACTTACGGCCACAATCTCTTCGCTCTTTTTGATAACAATAGATTCATGCGTAGACAGGAAAGCCAAACTTTGAGGAGTAACAAACATGCTTTTTCCTCTAAAAGTTTGTATGCAAGCCGATGTGAGGTGAGTCAGAAGACTGAAATGAAGATAAGAGAGGAAGTTACTGCTTTTTCTGGAATTTCAAACATAACGAAAGTGCTTTCTTTCATTATTTCTACCAGCCGCTCAATTACTGTCCAGCACAACCACCTCAGCCTCAGCATCCCCAATACTTTCCACACCAATCATATCACCAGCGTTCACGCCAGTAACAAATGCACCGTCGCCCTCTTCTAACACAGCGTCTTCCCTTCCATCTAGCCTGATCTTTGCTTTGCCCTGTTTAGTCATGGGCAGGTGAATATATACATTCCTCTTCTTCTTCGAGCTGACTACATCTCCTGCGCCAACACTCCATTTGAACATCATGTTCGGTCCAATAATTCCAGCTCCCATGAGGAAGTCGGCGTGGATGGGAATCGTGTCTGGAATCTTGGGACGAGCAGCCTCTTCCTCTGCAGGGGTTGCGTCCGGCCCTGCTGCCAACGGCGACAGGATCGGAACGAAGGCCTTCCGTTTAGCCTCTTCGCTGAACGTCATCGTGTGATACTGCGGTTTCAGTCCATACTTCCAGGGCAGGACCCAGATTTGAAGGAAATGCACTGGTTTGCTCGATTCGTTCTGTTCAGAGTGCGCAATTCCTGATAGTCGGGTTAGAATCTACACCTCGGACAATCACTAATGCATCAGGACGGGTTCTTACCGGTTCCTCCAGTCGTGAATTGCACATCGCCCCTTCGCATACGATAGAATTGCTTGCCCTGCGCACCTTCCGCTCCCTTCTTGATCATGCTGTCCCGGTGCGTCAGCTCGCCATTGAGTATGTAGCTGAAAATCTCCGCATCCCGGTGAGGATGTAGAGGAAATCCATTTCGAGCAGCGACGCGGTCTTCGTTCAGCACTCTCAGGCAACCGAAGTTGAGAAAGCGGTGGTCGTAGTAGTCGGCGAAGCTGAAGGTGTGATATGTTTTCAGCCAGCCGCCGTGCTCGGCGTATCCGCGCTCACCGGAGCGACGGAGTGCAATCTTGACGTGGCTGAGAGGTTTTGACATGATGATACTGTTGTCTTCGAGTCTTCAGAAGGTGCAGTAGATGGACTTCGGCTATCGCAAACAAGTTGGTTGGTGAAAATAAGCGACGACTCAATGGATTGTATCAATGTTCGATCAAAGGTATTGCTCTACTGCTAGTTTGTGATTTCTGAGGGAAAAAATACAATGCTTCTGGACTGGACCATGGCTATATAAATCCTCGAGTTGTGGCGTCATTGAGCATACTTTGGACACGGTTAAGCTTTATCAGCATGAGATAAGGCCTGACAAAGAGCTTCAAGAGTAGGGCCAGAGTCTGAAGTGGTACTGTCATCCTCAAAGAACAAGCCACAATGTCGTAAAAGAGCCTGAATCATTAGTCAAATGGTAAAAATATAATGATTGCCGGCATTAAACCAGTAATGATTTGTCTCGCTTATATGTTCTCTCTAATTGCTTAAAGAGCGATTGTTTACCTGTATATATAATGTCCTAAGCCACTGCATTTTCCTGCGTTCCATTCATTGCTACCTTAGAAAGTAGATAAGAAAGATAATAGAAAAATATAAGGCTATATAGAATCAGCAGCAAGAGGTTAGTAAAGACTATACTAGTATTCAATGCAAATATTAAGCCTTAAAAATTAACGTTTCCTGGGAAGTGAGGGCCATAGGTCCGAACTCCTGCGCTGGGAGTGAGCGGAGTGAACTCTGAAGTGTAATCATTATATGTGATTATTCTATCACCAAGCTGGCCAAACCACCAAACGATAATGCCATGCTCTGGCAGCTTCTGCTGTCCACCTGCTTCTACATCAAGCTCAGGGTCATGTATGTCGCTTCGGATGTCCTTAATGTAATCTCGTCCATCGACGGCACCGTTTTCGACGAACATAGGCCTAGAAGTCTCTTGAGTGAGGTCGCAATCCCAGCGCACCTGTCCAATCGATTCAATATGTTGGTCGCTGTAAAATAACAGAAGGCCCAGGCATGGATGATGCGACTGTTCTTTATCCCTGCAGACCTGCACCCTCACAAGGCCTTCGAGCGGGGCCTTTGTCATGTACCAAGTACCCGCTATTGAGCCTCGGCCGGGAGGGACTGCTGGGGGTTCAAAACGTGTATTCATGGGCGGAGGCTCTAGGGGCCCGGCATAATACTGACCATTGCAGGTAACTCCAATTTTGGAAATGTACTTGCGGGCTGGGTCCAGCCCATCATGAAAAATTCCCGAAATAGCACCATCGCCACTCCTAACCAAAGGGTGATACTCGTATTGATCGATAATCCGGGTTGGAAATTGAGGCCCGAATGTGATGGTTCTTCCTCGGGAGGTTTGGAGCTTGCTGGTGAGTATAGACGAGAAACGAGGAAAGATAGACTTACAACTAAGATAGGGTTGGAAGCTGGCCCACGGCAAATCCTGAACTTCCGGATCCAAGCTGCTTTGATGTATTCATGTTCATTGAGCGGGAAGTAAATCCATTGTTTATGGCTGTTACTTATGCGTCGATTCATCAAATCGACGAACTTCCTGAATGTTGACGACGTATCTGAGAAACCGTGGATCCCGACAGTCTTAGCGTTGGCACAACAGACAAGAAGACCTTGGATGTGGGAATCGAATTTCAAATAGTCTAAGCGAGATTTATCTCGGACTTGATAAAAATTCCACCGGTTGAATTTGGGCGGGAAAGGAGAGCTCCAGATCCTGTACGCAGAAGATGGATCGTTTGAGACGAGCTGAATACCTCTGATAAAAAGACCCTAGTTATGTTAGTTGCTGCACCACTACTGATGACGGGTAACAATACATCGCAGCTCACATAGGCCTCTAAATCAGAATCTCTTGCTTCGAGAATCTCGTACCATGGCGACCCATCCGATGTGGGATTCGAATTATGATCCACGAATTGTATCCTACGTACGCCGATACAGTCGACTGACAGGATGATTTTGCTAATATTACTAGGCAGCTGGATGCGATATTGATCGGTGGTGCCCCTTGATTCGAGCGGTTTGCTGCTGAGCCTTGCCACGTAGGAAGTTCCGCGATATTTTATTCTTGACATCCACATTTCTGGTGTTAGACTCAGCTGCGTACTCTGGGTTTCACAGTTATCCCTCAGACGTTCAATCAACCGGCGTGTCTCACCAAGTACAATCAAGTACCAGCACGGAGCAATCAGTTTGGAGATCATGATTCTTATTTCGGCCGGTAATTGTCCAAACAAGTCTTGTCTGAAACAGTCTTGGATAATTGCTCTTGTATATTTGCTGAACAGTCCTTCCATAACCGACGCAATCACTCCACGTTCCTCATGTTGACATTTATAAACGGGTCTGGTTGCATCAGCAAAATTTCTCAAATCTTCAGAAGTAGGTTTCTCGGAGGGCTCGTAGCTATGCTCTAAAACGTTGTAGCACGTTGCATGGAACCAGACTGATGGATACGGCGATTGAGAACAGCGTGCGCATGGACTTCTGCACCCAGCGACAGTAAGCAGATTTTGACTTAGGTCTGTCAATTGGGTTAGACGCGCACAAGCCATGAAAAAAAGGAGGACGCACCAAGGATATGTGATCCAATAATCGCAGCTTGTCTGCACAGCACGCATAGAGACTGTCCAATATGAATATCTTGTACGGAAGTCATTGCTGATAGATGTATCTGAAACCCGGTGAAATCGGCGTCTCGCGCAGTGATATGTGCTTCCTGAAGCTTTCATCACTAAGGGTGGCTCGCGCTTATTACACAATAATCGGGGCCCCTGTGCATTGTTCTCCTACTGAAGGTGAGAACTTTGCTGGACATTATGGCTGCAAGGGAGAAATACTATGGGGTTAATTACAACTGCGCTCATCTAGTGTGCCCACTTTTTGTGGCTTGGTCACACGCACGTGATAAGGTGCCAGCTCCGGACATATGTACCCAGCTTGATCTTATCCCCGACCACTTCCAAAGCTCCCAAGGCCAGGTCGGTTGATATAGGTGCCAGTACTGCAAAACTCGCCTAAGTTGAATACTGCCCTGACATTTTTGCAAAGCTTCCCTCCCATGACGTCCTAGGGATCCAAGTTCTATCTTCCCACTATGTCTCCTCCACCAATTTCAATACCCCACTTCGCACAAGCGCAATTGCAGCTACTTCTTCAAGAGCATGAAGCTGAAATCTCCTCCTCCTCGCTAGCCAGCACCGCCGCCTCAGTCTCACCTTCGACGCGTCGAACTCTACAAGCAACGGGCTATGCGCTGACGGGAATTGTATTATCGCAATGCCGAACCGGACTGGGCGGGCGCGTTGTCGGCGAGTTCACTGCCGATGCAGCTGTATACTCGAGCAAGTCTAAGGCAAACAATATCGACGATGACAAAGCTGGATCCGACGGAGAACCGAGGCTCGGTGCGCACGGAATCCGGGTCGGGGATATTGTCCGCGTGAACGACACAAGCGGCTCGGGAAGCCAAAAGCTTGCGAAAGATAAAGGCAAAGCAGGTGGAAAAGGTGCAGCTGAAGCGTCCAAGGGTCCGGAGGGGGTTGTTACAAGAGTTGGAGAGAAAAGTATATGGATTGCGTTTGGACAAAGAGGTGGTGGTGGCCGATCCAAAGAGGACGATGAAGCCATTGAGGAGCTCTGGGGAAAGAAACTATGGCTGTATGTTCTTGTCGCTCTATGCTACATGGGTCCTTGATCTTCGGCACTGCCTCCTATACTAAGGGTAGCAAGCTGTTCGTACCCGACTCATGCTAATGGCGGTCTGCAGCATAAAACTCGCAAACGACGTGACGTACCGACGGTATGTGGGCTGCCTTCCGTGTGGTGCTTGGAGGTACTGAACTTGCGGCATTTAATGGCTTACTGCTTCTAGGATGAACCAAACCATGGAGAAAATGGCTAAAATGACGGACTCGGATTACTCGCACTTTATGCGAGTCGCCTTTGGTCATACAACTCCAATGCCACCAGACCATGACGCCATTGGCCCCATTGAGTTCATCGATCCAACCCTAAACGATTCACAGAAAGAAGCTATCCGGTTTGCTTTGGCGTCCAGGGATGTGGCGCTCATCCACGGGCCTCCCGGGACGGGCAAAACTCACACCTTGATTGAGCTGATTCTTCAAATGGTCAAACGAAAGCTCCGCGTACTGGTTTGCGGACCATCGAATATTTCCGTCGACAACATAGTGGAAAGACTAGCTCCCAACAGAGTGCCAGTTGTACGCATAGGCCATCCTGCTCGTTTGCTGCCGTCAGTTCTTGAGCATTCCCTAGAAGTACTCACTCATACGTCAGAAGCCGCGGCGATCGTCAAAGACGTGAGGAAGGAGATTGATGAGAAACAAGCTAGTATCCGCAAAACCAGGACTGGTCGGGAGAGACGGGCAATCTATGATGACCTCAAAGAGCTGCGTCGGGAGTTTCGCGAGCGGGAGTCAAAATGCGTGGACAACCTGGTTCGCGAAAGCAATGTCGTCCTTGCCACACTCCACGGGGCTGGCGGCCACCAGCTGAAGAACCAAAAGTTTGACGTAGTCGTTATCGATGAAGCCAGTCAAGCTCTGGAGGCCCAGTGCTGGATCCCCTTATTGTCCGCGCCTAAAGTGGTCCTTGCGGGAGATCACCTGCAGCTTCCCCCTACCGTCAAGTCTTCCGTTGAAAGATCGAAGAACGCAAAGAAGAAGGGGAAAACAGACACGAAAGGCGCTTCAGCCAGCTCTACAGAAATCATTGGCGATGTTTCTTTGGAGACAACCTTGTTTGACCGACTTCTTTCATTGCATGGACCAAGTATCAAGAGGATGCTAACCACGCAGTATCGGATGCATGAGAAGATTATGCAGTTCCCATCCAACGAACTATACGAATCTAAACTTATTGCCGCGGAGTCGGTGAAGTCACGCCTTCTTAAGGATTTGCCCTATGATGTTGAGGAGACTGATGACACGAGAGAGCCAGTCGTATTTTGGGACACGCAAGGCGGTGACTTTCCAGAGAAGACTGAAGATGACGAGATAGGAAAAAAGGAAGCGTTGCTTGGCGAAAGCAAAAGCAACGAAATGGAAGCTTTGGTCGTTGCGAAGCATGTGGACAACCTCATACAGGCCGGCATGAAACCCGAAGATATTGCCTGCATTACCCCGTACAACGGTCAGCTTGCCCTGCTTTCTTCCATGCTCCGAGAAAAATATCCTGGTCTCGAGCTCGGAAGTGTGGACGGCTTTCAAGGCCGCGAGAAGGAGGCCGTGGTGGTCAGTCTTGTTCGTAGTAATTCCAAGCACGAAGTGGGATTTCTGGCGGAAAAGCGGCGTTTGAACGGTATGTTGTAGCGTCTCTTCTCTTTCCGTTATCCTTTCTTGCCTTCCAGATTTACATGTTCTAACCCGCGTGCATTCTATTTCTCTTAGTCGCCATGACTCGTCCTAAACGACATCTATGCATATGTGGTGATTCGGAGACAATCAGCAAGTGAGTGCGCCGCATTCATCAAGTCTTGTTTTTAAGGAAATGCATTCGCATTTGTCAGCTTTGTGGACGAGTGGCGGAAGCCTGCTAACGTGAGATATTTGCCCTGCAGAGGCAGTGCCTTTCTCAAGCGATGGATGGCCTTTCTCGAAGAACATGCGGATCTACGCTATCCAGATGCCGCGGTACTATTGTGAAGGAAGACGAGTCTCGAAGACGATAAACAATCGCTCTTGAGATCCAAGACTTTGCGATAATCAGGTCATCGACACCAAGCCGCGTAATGTCTCGGAAGAAGAGAGTAAACAGCCACTTGCCCCCGAACCAATTCCTTTGGAACAGGGCTGCTCTGAGCGACACTTTCTCTACAGCTTGCCTCCCACTGATGTCGCACGGTCTCGTCATTTGTCGAGACTCCACGATAACTGATGCAATTGCCCCTCAGAGCGCAGATCCTCGTGCGTCTGAGCGCAGCATTCCCCGCCAGTTGATGCTGTCATATTTTCGAGTTCCGCCTAGATCGGTACTATTTGACTGGCCAGAATAGCTTCGACTAGATAAATGTTTTTGAAAAAGTCTCGAAGCCTTCGAGTCACGCTCGGATGCCTGTTTACATGATGAAAGAACGGACTGACGAGGCAGGGAATTATCACAGCTAGAATGGCTGACAAGCAACTTGCGAGCAAGGCCAGTCTATTGCTCGCTGGGAATCTTACGTTAGGTCGTAAAACTGCATGGTAAATGCTACTGAGATCATTAATTGGATCATTAATTGCTTTTGGCAGATCTGCACCATGTGCCATTGTGCATTCAACAGAGAGCCCAGAAATCAATAGGCACATGGCAGTGGCACTCACTGATTATCAGCTACGGATACACTACTCCATAGTTCCACTTCGTACATCCCTAGCGTATGCACTCATCTGCAGATAAGCCGTGTCAAAAGGTGTCATTGTTCCAGAGTCTGGACATGAAATCGAATATATTCATTATTCATTCAAGCGTCGCGACTTGCGGGTACCTAAAAGGGAATTCCAAATCCGAGCACCCACTTGGCGTGTCTCAGCATCTCTCACCGTCTCACAGCTACCGTCTTGCAGACTGACGCTCAAACTCAGAGCTCATGTTCCACGCACTATTTACGTTGGGGATACGCCATCATATCATTACAGGTGCTGGTTGGCTTCACAGGTGTTTGATGTTCAAGTATTTGACCACAGTGAGCCTTCCACTACAAGGATGGGGGCTGCTCGAACTGACAACATTGATCTTGCTCACAGATGATTCGCAGCACAGACCATGAGAAGTTTCAGACCAGAATAATCGAGAAGCCTACGATCCTCAACTTTGACTGGGATTGAGATTCAAGCGACTTCCCACCCCCTGACAGACCTGAAACTGATTTTGAACGCACCGACGCGGGACTAACAGCCGCCGTCAAAACATCCGTCCTTTTTGTTGGCCCACTTGGTCGTCGGGTCTGGATCATCTCGCCAACCCGCAGTTCTCTATGGATAGTTTGGATGGAGTGTGTCTGACGATGATGTCCTTTCTGCGCCGTCAGGAACTAGTAGTCTGAATCTTGACTCCGTGTCTCCATACAACCCGCCTACCTGCTTAACTTCCATTTCTCGGAGGCTTTCTCCTTGAACAACGTATCTGTCTCACAATTCTTGAGCTGGCCATAACTTCACTCAATTCAGAAATGGGAGTCTGATCTCTTACACTTCTTACGGTCGATCTCCTGTTGAACGTTCCCCTCCCACTCAGCCTGACTCCAGTCGCTCCCTGCTGCAGCCCGTGTTCTTACTTCTTGTTCCCGATTTAGGTCAAACGCATCGGTCATGCATCCAGAACGAGCGTCCTGTCTTTCGTTGCATTCCGTCGTCGAAGAATACCTCAATTAGGCTATTTTGTTCCGATGCTATCTTGTTCCATCAGCGCAGGTGTCCCCGGTTGTCCTTCGGATTGTGTGGAGATATCGACGTCTGACAAGACCATCTCAACCACGGTCAGCTACCACCCTGGTAGCTTCATTGTCTCTCATTTAACCATCTGGTCACTTCTCTCTCTTATTATGATCTTCGATTGATGGGAAGCTTGTCATCACCTCATCTGCCTTACTTGTCTTTCGTTGTGGCTCGAACATGGCCTCCTAAGATATCCAACTAATTGCTTACACATTTTTGATACAAATCTAACGTAAGAAACGATATTGATAAAACCCTTTGACCGACTCCGTGAGCTAGTTCTAGTTGTGTTAACGCGGAATACGTTGCTAACTGCTCCTCTTGCTTCCAGGCGAACTCTCCTTGTTTCGACCCATTCATTCCTTGAATTCGATACCCCATATGTTCTCAGTCGATACCTTCTCACACACTCGCTTCAAATAAGCTTTGAGCTATACTCTTCTGCTTGACACGGCCCAGTTTCACAGATACCCTTTGCATACCCAGGCATATATCATACCCCTACAGTCGCCGAACTCAGTCGCGATTTGGCTGAATATACTATACACGAAACATTGAATGGAGATGGCGGGCTCCAGCTTCAGTACTGAAAGGAGCTCCGTGCAACTCCGCCGTTCCTCTACCCTAGCACAGGAGTCGTATGAGGGCACCGCTTTACCACAGGTGACATCCCACCAATTGGTATTGAGCCACCGTCGACCTCCACGCGGCTCCGAGTCTTCCATTCTAGCGAGCACATTGCGCGGAAACTACCGAGCAGCAGCGCCCTTGCACCAAGCCCAAGACACGTTGACAAGAGGGCCCAATACGCATCGTCGAACAGGAAGCACTCTGAAGACGGTCATGCGAAAGATCTTCACCCGGAAAAGGCGGAGTGATACTGATGATTTCGAGGATGCCCCCTCTGATTCTCCCACCCCACAGTCGCAAACGCCCCGGTCAAACAAGGATCTAACCGAGATTTCATTCTTAGAACTCCAGAGTCCAAAGTCACAGACGCCAAAGTCGAGCAGTCCTCTTCAACGGGAATATGGTGGCTCGCGCATGATCGAAGCTAGCTCTCACAGTTTTGCGCCGGCACTTTCTGGTCGCCGGCGAGCTACACTACCGAGCTTGATCTTGTCCGAAGACGGTCGAAACACGATGGAGACAGTTTTCAATACAGATAGCGCAAGATACAGCCGCGACAGGAGCTCTCATGCGAATAGCGACCAGACGGACCTGCTGCGCCGCGAGAACCTTCGAGTAAAGAGGCGATCACGAAGTGCTGATGCGCTTCGCGGGATGGCACGCGATCATCAAATGTCCCCTATTCAGTGGAGACGACGTAGCACTGAAACAACCTACGTCAATTCTTCAACTTTTGATACGTCTTCAGACAGCGAAATGTCCTACCGACCTCCTACACGAACAACCGTTGCCAGTGCACCTGAACCTCCCAGCGAGAGCCCAGTTGAAGGGACTCAGAAGCAGGAGGAACTAGAGAACGTGACGCCGAACATTGGAAATCTCGTAAACTGCATGCAGCATAGCGAAGACATCTCTCTCGAGCAGCGACTCACAACACTAGAGGTCAAGTTAATCGACCTTGAGTTTGCCATTGCTCGAATGCAGAATGTCCGTGCTGAACCTTCGCCGGCCGAGTCACCCAAAGAAAACAAAGCCTCTTCCCCAACTAAGAGTAGACGACATGTCCGCAACAAGTCATCGGCTCATCTCCAGTCACCCGGCACCGGGGAGCTGAAGAGCGACGAATTCACGCCGGACAGTCGGCCAGTCAGCACCGCTACAATACGACCTAGCAATCTGCAACGATTGCGAACTTTGCAAACATCATCTTCGACCTCCTTAAGCGACTTCAACGGGATCTCGGTCGAGCAATACAGTGCACTTGTCATGCTCCTGAGAAGGGAGCAGACCGCACGAAGAAACCTCGAGACGCAGGTTGCCAGTCTCAAGGAGGACATTCAGCAACTGCAACAGCTCGCTAGCAACTCGATATCCGTGGGTACGATGTACCCAATCCGCAGCCGAGAGTCTCAGGAGCTTGAACGTATGAGGAAAACATTGGTTCGCTGCCCAGCCGACTCCCTGACTTGCTCGGACAAAATCGGCTCGCCGTCCGACAGTGAATCCGAAGTGGAGAGTCCTAGGGGCTCCTCCAGGGATGACGTGTTCGGACGACCGAAGTGGCAGTATAACCGACGCATTGAGGTTGCGCGTATGATATAAAGCGTCAAACATGGATCATCACCCCAGCAGCCAATTGGATAAGCATGGTTTGATCTTCTCGCGATAGGCCTCCGGGGCCATAATTAGTCTGACGAGTGGTTGAGCACTTGGGATATAATATCAGGATATCCTCGTCCAACGCGGCGGAGGGGACGAGGCTCTTGAAAAACATTCTTCGATCCTTCCACCTCTTTCATTCTTCTCGTTGCAAAACAACTGCACATTTTGAAACCCTCTCATGGCGTCCGAGGACGCTCGCGTATCCCTTTTTACCAAGTTGATGCTATCGCAAATTGCCCTTCCTTTATGACTGATCCAATTTGTTGAACAAGTGGTTCTTGATCGCGTTGACCGTTATAGAGCCCGTCATGACCCTCCTTGATATCATTCATCGTCCTACTCAACTCCATGAAAGTCTGTTTTATCTGATACCACCGTTTACTTGGGCTATAACTTTTCCATATATAGATGTCAATAGACAATTGAAGGACATGCGCAGACTACGGAACTGAGATATAACCTTCGAATCCAACCGTACAGACAAAAGAATACCCATCAGTGAACACAAGACTGAACTCTATTACTACGTACTATCTGTACTATCTACAAGAACCATAAAATCGCCTACAGACGCTAAATGCCTCAACCCAGCGCAATCCTCCAAGCCCATCCTAACCCACTCACTCCGTCTTCTTAGCCTCAACCTCATCCTGCTCCGGCATAAACTCAAGCCATCTACCAAACAACCACGACGAACGAGAAACCACAGACCCGACCGCAAATCCGATATACGCACCCGTCAGAATGGTAATAGGAAAAGCCTGCCACGGACGATCCCTGACACCTCCATCAGCATCCACCCACACAAACCCAACAAAGTCGGCGACGAAAAAACAAGAAGAGAAAAACTCACCAATCCAAGGGAATCGGCACAGCACCAAACCACGCCCCAAGGGCAGTCCCCAGCGCACCGCCCCAGACAGCATCAGCGGGGCGCGCAAACGCCCACACCTCGCGCCACACGGCGCCATCGACACCATGCACGTAGATCAGCGCCGTAGAGGCCAGGAGCGCCATGTGCGCGGCGCACAGGACCGTCTCGGCATTGTGCGTTGTCAGCGGGACGCCGAAGAGGACGAGTAGGATGGCGAGGACGGGGGTCGCGAGGAGGAAGGTGAGGGTCAGAGAGAGGAGGGCGGGCTATCCATCCCCATTAGCAGCCATCCACTCATCACAATAGCCAGACAAGTACAGAGTAGTGGGTTAGGACAGGCAAAGCGGATAGAGTGGCACGTACCGTCAGCTTCGCCGACAAACCCGCCGAATGCGACTGGGTCTTCCTCCGGCTGAGCTTCCCAGCCCGAAGCGGGAGTTTCCTTTTCTCTTTCTCTTTGTCGTCGCCCTCGCCTACCGGGGACGTAGCGCCGGAGCCAGAGTCGCTGCCCGTCTTCGAGGACGGCGCCGACCCCGCCGGCGGCAGACAAATCATCACGTATGTCACCTGCAGCAGCGCCAGGAACGGGAGGGTATTCAGCATTTCCGCGACGGGCTCAGCGACCAGCGCCTCGAACCGGACGGCCAGGATGGCCAGCAGCGCGGCGGGATGGAGGAACGAGTATGTTCGGGCGAGTTGGGTCGGGAGGATATTCACGGGCGGCGCGGAGGGTTTCATGACTGGAGGGGGGACTGGCGCGGAGGAAGCGGCATTGGCTGCGCGGAGGGGGGAGGGTGGCGCTGAAGTCATGGTGAGGGCACTGATGGGCGCAGGAGCGCCCTTGTGAAGTATTCAAAGGAGTGTGTGAGGATGAGGTTGAGAACGATTTTGTTGTGAAACTTGAGGAAGTTAGAGACGATGCTGGAATTATTTCGGAGAGTTCGGCGGCAGGGCCGGATCCCCTGACTCTTGATTGGCTCATCCCAGGAGCTATGGCTTGGTTGCCTTGATTTCAGGTGTCAATTTGAGACGCCTTGATTTTCAGGTACACAACATACATCCCTTGAGTACTATTGATGATGAGCTCGGGTCTCTTACAAACTCATACTCTTGATATATGACTCTACGTTTATCACACATTTATGCGTGCGATCAGGAATACTCTATTGAAACATGTTACTGAGAAGGGAACAAGCGAATAAAGCTTCGAAAAGGTGCTCTATGTGTTTTTTTTTCTCCTATGCCCGCACGAACAACAGGTAACCCAGAAGCAAAGCCAATTTCCCCGTAGAGGACAAAGGAAATACGAGAGAAACGTAAATCGTGACGCATGAAACGGCGTAACAGAAAGGGGATCAAGGGTATGAATGGGACACTCCAGCACCGAACAGTAGACGCGGTATACAGTCACACTCATTGAGATGGCCTCGAGAACAGACAGACAACAAAAGAGCTTCAACACCGTTGCTCTAGATAGAAACCTGAACATCATAGCCAGCAAATCAAAGGTGCAGAATCGAGGCGAAAGCACATTCCTGAATCGAACTTATAGCTAGAAGTTCGACACCCCTGAAACAAAAGATACAGAAGAATAGTCGAATGCCGGCCCACTTCTGAGCATATCAAATGACTCAGAAAGCATCACAAAAAAGGGATCCGTCTGCGTTACATTCCAAAAAGTGACATAGGGCGAACAATGGCTCGCCCGGCAAATCGTTCTGTCGTGCTCAGGGCAATAGCATACAGAACCTAACAAGGGCATCTAATTTGGAAAAGGTTCTTTGCTCTTGTCGTCAGACTGCGCGGCAGCAAGAGCTTCAGCATGCGATGGGTTGCCAGGATTCGCAGCGACAGCGGTTGCTTCTTCCTTGTTCAAGTCGGGATCGGTGCGCGACGTGATAGGACTCTCTGGAGTGCGGGGTTCCTCCGGGATCGCCGGGGGCAGACCAGAGCTAGGCATGATCGGGGATACTGGGGAGCGCGTTTGCTCTTCTCTACTCTCTTTTGCCACATCAATTTGCGCAGGTCCCCTGCTGATTCTGTCCTTGCCAGCAGGGGACAGGGTATGGCTGGACGCGGATCTCTCTTGATCCGCTTGCGCAGGGCTTCGGGTACGGTCTCTCTCCGGATCTCTCACGCCATCCCGAACCTGCGCAACCTTGGCTTTGAATTTTCCAAAGAGGCTCCGCTTCTCGGGCTCTAGGCTTTCCTTTGAAGCGGTGCTATTGCTTATCTCAGCGTCCAGGCTCAAAGGTTGCTGGGATGGGTCGTTGGCGAACTGCTGCAGATCTGATGGCGAGCTCTTGCTGGATTGGTGCCAGCTGCCCACCGAGGTCGTACTGCGCTCAGCGCTGGGATTTGATGCGGGGAGGGGAGGTGATGCAAGACCGAGTCCGATGTGTTCGTTGCTACGTTTAGACGAACGAGGGAACCTCCAACTCCGTCGGTGCTCCCTGCGGTCCGCTTTCTCGTCTGTCTGATCAAGATCCGAATGATCGGTGAATGAGGAGCGAGAGTTCATGGAGGGTGTGCGCGAACCATGCGGCTTCAGCGAATTGTCTGCATAGTGCAAGTCGTTCTGGACGCCCGGCTTCTCTTCGGCGGTGTTGATGGTGGCATCATCTCCGGGATTTGCCGTGTTAGGAGGTCTAGGAGTCGCCCCTCCGGCTTCACCATCAGGTTCATTTGCCCGTGCAGGCAAGGGAACGACGCTCACAACGGATTCAGACGTCGCTGCCTGCAGTGACAGGGAAGAACTGTGGGCACTTTCGCTGGTACTTCCCGGTGTCCGCTTCTTTTTCAGGCGATTGGGCTGACGTGGTTCCTTCAGCTCACCGTTCTGCGGAGGGGACTTGGTGAAGAAACTGGACAACTTTCGCTCTTTGGTTGGAGTCACGAGGGGCGGCGGCGGAGAGGATACCATGGTCGGCAGAGTGTCCTGAATGACAGGCCTCTCGGCGATGGGCGCGCGACCTTCGGCGACTTTTGGCATGGGACCATGGGTCGATGTGTGAATGTAAGCAGTGCCAGTTTCAGCGTTAGACCCTGATGGAGGCGCCGGCGTCGTCTGGCTAGTTTCCTCCCTCGACACGGGCGCGCGGCTAGACGACCGGGAATTCTGGACGGAAGGGTTGAGCCCAGACGGTTGAACACTGGTCGATTCCTGAACCCTGCCATATCTTGCAGAAGTTATTGGAGACATTTTGGATGGCAATGTGTTGCTCCGATGGACTCCAACACCACTCAAGGATGTCGGTGTCACCGGTCCCGGAGAGTTGTTTGAATGACGCGAATTCTTCGAGGAGACGGAGACGTTCCGACGCAGACTCTCGTACTTGCGGAAGCTATCCGCGCCGCCGCTCGCGCTGGATACTGAGCGTCTAATGTTGGAAGTTGTTGTGGGCCGGCGAGAAGCACCGCCCTCGACCTCCTTCAGCGTCTGTTCATCTGCGGCAGTACCATTCATTCCGAAAAGAAAGTGGTCCTGGTTTTCGATCAGGAAGATCAAAACATCCTGACTCAGCTTGTATTCATCCGGCGACATATCGTGCTGTGGGTGAGACAGCAGCCCAGGTTGAAAGATAGCGGAGAGGTTAGCCGATGTCATTCGATTCTGGTCAGACTTGGACGCGAAGACGGCGAGGAGATCAAGAATGTAGAGAAGCAGCTGTTTGTTCAACGGGGGAAGCTCCCTAATTAATTGCTGGTAGGCCGCGACAGCCTTTGCGTGATCAAAAGCCTCCGAATCAGCCCCGGTTCCATTTTCCTGAACCTGCCTCTGATACGCGCGTAGCGGCTCGCGAAATCGCTCGTAAAAGTCCAAAGGAACGATCGGCTCGGGGAGCTGATTGAGGTAGCGACGCAGGACGTTTGCAGCATCGTGCACGGTATATCCGGTCCAATCCAGCCCTTTTCCATATCGCTCCGGCGAATCAAAGATTTCTTGTAGATCCTTGATCCGTTTCGCAGATCCATTCAAACGGAAAATGCCTTCGACGTCCGTTGCTGGAAGTAAGACCGCCATCAGTAGGCCGCTCGCCGGAGCAAAGAAGAAGCCTGATTGATTTCGTACCTTTTTCCTTCAAGAAGACACCACACTTGGCGACGACGATGGGCACATAACCGTAGATGAAGCTTTCGCCATTGTCGTTTGTGAGAGAGATTGCGACATTCGCATATTTGATGCTGACGTTGAGGGGAACACCGAAGATACCCTGAGGCTTTTCTGTGAGAAAGGGCGGATTAGCCTGACATAAGAGATGGGTCTCAGAAATAATTCAAGGACCAAGCAAAGGAGCTTTCCGTGTACGCCCGTAGAAGAAAAGGCAGCAATTGCGCGCAAAATGGACTCGGCAAAAATGACAAAAACGGGGCCAGCTGTAGAGTTGGTTGAACTGGAGAAAAGGTGTCGCAAAAGGCCAGGAGCGCTCATTCGCAACCGAGGTCGCCCATCTCAGGCAACTCAGGTCGCAACTCTTCCAACAGACAAGGTTTTCTTTTTGCTTCCCAAATAGCGTACCTTTGACTTCCTCTTTCCTCGTGTTACGTTTGAACTGCCTCCACCAAGACGCCAGATCTCGCTTTGATGGCGGAGAGGTCGCGATCTGGTGATGGGTCGCAGAGGGTGGGAGCGGGTGGATCGGCTCAGTGCCAGGCTGCGACTTGCCTGTCACCATGATGTCGAGAGTGCTTTGAGAAATGTAAGTTGGCGGGAGGTCTCTAGGGTCTGTCTCAGTCGTTATTCGAGGGAGAAAGTGGTGACAAAAGCGAGTCCCTCGTCACCGCCCTCGTGTTTTTCGCGAGAACCTCCGGGGCTGGGACTGTGATCCCAAAATAGCCCGAGGACTAGTCAAACAGCGGGAGCAAGTGCCGCGCGCCGTCCGCAACGCCCACGGCGGATCAACGAAGGGCACGGTCAGCTAATTATGCGGGGAAATCAAGCTCAATGAGTACAGTGGATGTCTGATGATGGATGCGACCGAGTTGAGAAGATGAAGCTGGAACGGAGAAGACGGAAGACGGGGAAGGAGGGAGGGAGAGGGCGGGAAAAAGGGTGGTTGTCAAGTCGGAGGGGGGTTGAGGTGGATGGAAGAAAGGGTGATTGGAGAGGCACTCTCCTCAGGCTGACAGTGGCTTCAGGCTCCCAGGAAATTTGGAAAGGGAGGGGAAGAACCAATCCCTTCGAGAAGGTCGCAGGTCAAGGAGTGAAGACTAATGGAGACAGGGATGCGCTTTTCATTCAATGATTATTATTATTTAGATCGGCCTGAACAGAGGGGGAAGTACGGAGTAGAGGAGAAAAGATTGGCGGAACACCACGAAAGAGATGGCGATGGAGGAGAATGAGGGGCGTTGATGGGCTACACCGATTATTATTATTATTACACATCGACAACTAGGTAGGTAGGTAGTTAACTATGGCTGCTGAGGTAAGGTACGGAGTAAGGTTAGACGATAATTTTCGAAGGGTAATTGAGTTAGTATGTAGCTAGGGACTACGGACGTACATGATATTATGGCTATCTAGGTACCTTACAGGGTACTATGCACTATGTAATGATTGCTATATAAGTCGTGAGTTGTGAAAGACCCAGAACCAAGGAACCATCTGCTCTGGAAGTTTGGAGCGCTGTTCTCCTGCTTGTCTAGACTCTAGACTATCGTAAAAGACGATGGAACGCTGACGATTCCCCGCCTACAGGAGTAGTACTGTTACTATCTACTACTAAGGTAGTCTAAGTAGTAGTTAGGTACCGAGTACGGAGTAAGTTTTCTCAAAAAAAGAAACTAGTAATAAGAGAGTCCCCTCTTCCCGGGCAGCGATCGTCCTTGTAGACCCTTGGGACCAGATGACCAAGTTGCCAGGCCCCAAACACAAAAAGGGCCACACCACTAGTCCTCAGAGGCTGCTACATATCGACAAGAGGCGATGATATATCTCATCAGAGAGAACAGCATTTGCTCTTCATTACTCCGTTGACTCACTGACATGCCGAACTGTTTCAAGGCTTACAGGGGTGTACACGCCACAGATGTAAGCTCTATATATATACTCCGTACCGAGTACATCTATGCATTTGAAGTCAGATATTGCCATACCAGTCGCAGTAAGCCTCGGTACAGTCAATACGTAATATACGGATAAATTCTCGTCTTGATCACTAAACTTGCGACAGGCCGACATGTCAGTACATAGTAAAGCACTACCTTATCTAAAAAAGGCCCTCTATGAAGCCACTGATCCACCAACCACTCAAAAGCTAATACCAGGATGCCACATAAGCAACTGTGGAAAGAAGGGGCATCAGAAACTTTTAGTGAGGAGGACAACCTCCTATCAGAGACTGGCCTTGAAAGCCATAATTAAAGACAGAGCAGGAAAGCATTCATAATCATCCCATTGATGAGCTGTGACCACTGGGGAGGAGGGTTGGCAATGTAGCAACTAGCAAGGCTGACGACCATGGTTCCGTCCATGCCACAATTCCACAAAATCCAGGGCCCATGTTCTGGCTGGTGGCGGTGTTCTTTTTTTAAGTTGGACTGTCGAGATTCCATGCCTGCTGGGCTTTCCTAAAGGGTTTAGGCTCCAGGTCACACAAGTCGGTTGGTGACATTTCGGGACCGGATAAGCTTTCTTCCGTTGTAGCCCAGTTCATACTTGTACTGGAGATTCAAGAAGCTTCAATTACAGACAGAGTGAAGTCTTGTGATAACAGTCAATTGATTGGTAGTTGGTAGCAAATTTGACTGATATCACTTTCGAAGCATCTCCTGATGAGTTAAGGAGAACTACGCCTGAATCTACATGAGGTAACCTCATTCTATCTACACTCTTTGCCTCGCATAGTCAAAAACCAGGAAATCTTTTCCACTCCATGCTAGGAGCCCTTTCGTCCACAAACCTTGATGGTCAATGAACAAAGAGTAGATATACTAGATTACATGTCTTACCCGGAAAGACTATTATATGAACTCTGCCTCTACGTTCTAGAAAGGCTATCTGAAGCCAGTCAGTAGACGGACTGCGAAGAGCTTTGAAGCAGGTGATTGAGGTCACATGAGCTCATTGACTCGTCACGTGACCAGAAAACAGTAGCTTCCGCAGCTTCAAGGTCATCAGAGAGTCGGTTCATCAAATATTGTCGTGCTTACTTGAAACATCTCGTCCACATTTCTCTTTTTACTTTTGTCTTCCAAGCAATATCTAGATAGATCACATCACAATGGACGGGTAAGTCCTCTTCGCCCACAAGTCTTCAGCAAGCACATCTTGTCTCGTGCGCTAACTTGGCACATCAGACTCACGGCTGCGGAACAGCGAGAGCTCGCTTCTCGCATGGAACGGAAGCAACTGAAGGAGTTTATGACTGTATGTTCTCATCTGTCGCGTTGATCCTGCCGCCCAATGTGTCCCACCCGGTGTGCAATATCTTCGGCTCCCTTCATACCCTACAGTCGAGACTTGCTTCTGACTTGTTTTCCGCCGCACAGATGTACTCTAAGCTCGTCCAGCGCTGCTTCGACAACTGCGTCAACGACTTCACCACCAAGTCGCTCATCTCCCGTGAAGAAGGCTGTGTCATGCGCTGTGTGGACAAATATATGAAAGCTTCCGGCCGCCTAAATGAGCGCTTCCAGGAGCAGAATGCTGCTATGATGCAGGGTGGACAGGTGCCTGGCCGGTAATCTAGTCTGGTCTTGTCTCTTCTCTTCGTACGGTGTATAAAATGCGTTGAGTTCTATTTCACAGCCCTTGGGCATGATCGTCTTCTGCTCAATGAATGGGCATTTGGGCTGGTTCCTGCATGAGAGCGGGGGAGAACCCTCCGTGAAGGGGCTATAGTGGGAGGTATTATCGTGGGCTTGCTTTGATCTATGTAACATGTACCATATAGCATATTCCGACTTTCGAGACTCATGAGATGGTAGCCCTTGATGGGCTGATGGCCCGTCACATTGTCCAATGCAGAAAAAAATGGAGGCACTGTAGCCGCAAAACTCGGGGGCATTTGAGACGATCTACTTCATAGCGTATCTGCGTGGGTAATACGTAACTCAGTATGGCGTTGTTGATGCTTTCTTAACGGAGAAAAGCAAGCCTGATACAAGGATAAGGGTAGGAAAAAATCTCCAACTTGGGTGATTCGGTTGATCAATACGATCTAGTTGCGTCCGACGATCGAAACTTATCGGTCTATTTGAGTCAACCCACTTGAATGGTATAACATAGCATTCTGTTGGCATCTGCGCATTGTTTTCCTGGAGGTATCTTGCCTCATAGGCTCGTAGCTGGCGATAAGTCTTGGCGGGGACACGGACCAAATCTTGCCCGGAAAACATTCCCCTTTTCGACACTTTTGTCATCATACCTCAGGCTGATTGATAGAATCAGTCCGAACTCGGCCTCGAGCTCGAGATCTGGCTGTATGGAGGTCGTTGAGCCAGGATAATATTGCTCAGATGATAACTGAGCTATAGAGGTGTTGCTGGAGCTGGCTCTGGAGCTCATATTTCTTAGAGGTTGATTACATCATAAGGGACATTCTACGATGAGCTGGATCAACTGCAGCAGCAAACGTCAAAATACCTCTCTAGCAATTGGAGACATGCGGAGATATGAGGGGATTATATGCTGTTCTAGCCTCTTACTACTATTATTATTATTAAAGATCCACCCGTCAGCATCAAAAATTTTGAGGAAGAGGAGTCATAATCCAGTGTATGGGATTGCTAACCCGAGAGTTTCCCGTCGGCAACTGTTCTGAGGAATCACTAACTCCGTACCCCTCACCCCACCGTCATCCCCTCCCCCTCGTCGAATTTTGACCTCCTCAGAAGACGAAAGGTCCACTTCCCGATCGACTCTCGTCTTGAGCAACTCGGTTCCTTATAATCCGGCTGCACGCTTATCGTCTACCTCCAGAAAGTCATTTCTTCACTTCCACCTTCCCTTCGCTCCCCTTTCGCAGAGTTCCCGTACATTCCGGACTCCGATCCCCGTTGACATCATGGCCGACACTGTTGGAAAGGTGAGTCGATATCAGCACTATATCAGCAAAGTCGATTGCCTTGTCGTCAGAGGTGGTTGCTAACTGGATTTTTAGACCATCACTTGCAAGGTACGGACATTGACGCGACTTTCATCTTGTGGGGGTCCAGCTTGACGAGGTTCTATTGCGATGCATCCGAGCACACAAGCTAAGTGATACATGGGAAATGTAGGCTGCCGTTGCATGGGCCGCTGGCGAGCCTCTCTCGATTGAGGATGTCGAGGTTGCCCCTCCCAAGGCCCACGAAGTCCGTATCCAGGTTCTGCACACTGGTGTCTGCCACACAGGTTGGTACCTCTAGCTTGGGAAGAACCTGCCCGAAAAGGTGCCAACGGCTGATCGGCTTTCAGATGCCTACACTCTGTCTGGAAAGGACCCCGAGGGCGCTTTCCCCGTCATTCTCGGACACGAGGGTGCTGGTATCGTCGAGTCGGTAGGAGAGGGTGTCACCTCGGTGAAGCCTGGTGACTATGTCATTGCTCTTTAGTACGTTCCAGCGACGAATCTGCCGATACATGTCCAGCTAACCTAACGCCGGTATGAAGCACCCCCGAGTGCCGCGAGTGCAAGTTCTGCAAGTCCGGCAAGACCAACCTCTGCGGCAAGATCCGTGCCACACAGGGCAAGGGTGTGATGCCCGACGGTACTTCGCGGTTCAAGGCCCGTGGCAAGGACCTGTTGCACTTCATGGGCACCTCCACCTTCTCCCAGTACACTGTTGTTGCTGATATCTCTGTTGTCGCTGTCACACCCAAGATCCCTACTGACCGGTCCTGCCTGCTTGGTTGTGGTATTACCACCGGTTACGGTGCGGCCGTTGTCACCGCCAAGGTCGAAGAGGGTTCGAATGTGGCCGTCTTCGGTGCTGGCTGTGTCGGTCTTTCCGTCATCCAGGGTGCTGTCAAGAACAAGGCGGGCAAGATCATTGCCGTAGATGTCAACGACAGCAAGGAGGAGTGGGCCCGCAAGTTCGGTGCCACTGACTTTGTCAACCCCACCAAGCTCAACGGCAAGACCATCCAGGAGCAGCTCATTGAGATGACCGATGGTGGCTGCGACTACACCTTTGACTGCACCGGTAATGTCGGTGTTATGCGCGCCGCCCTGGAAGCCTGCCACAAGGGCTGGGGCGAGAGTATCATCATCGGCGTTGCTGCTGCTGGCCAGGAGATTTCTACCCGACGTAAGTGTGTGCACTATCATCACGTTCAAGAAAGGTACTCACAGTCAATAGCATTCCAGCTCGTTACCGGCCGTGTGTGGAAAGGATGCGCGTTCGGTGGTATCAAGGGTCGTACCCAGCTGCCCGATCTGGTCGACGACTACCTGAACGGCAACCTCAAGGTGGACGAGTTCATCACCCACCGTGAGCCTCTCTCCAAGATCAACACTGCCTTTGAGCAGATGAAGCAGGGTGACTGCATCCGCTGCGTTGTCGACATGTCGTAGTGGGGTTATGTTTCCTTTGCTGTGTAAACCAGATACAAAACGAGCGGACAATCTACGGAGTCCCAATATACCATTTTCCTTTACTGTAATTGAGCCGTATGGGGCCCAAATGCAATTCGCATAATAAAATGAGATAGCCATCGGCGTACGCAGCGACTACTTGTACCTTTTCTAAGGCTCGCAAGGTTCTCACTGCACTGCATCCGTCAGTGACCCCGAGGACCTTGCTGATCCTCTACGGCTGCCCCTCTGCAAGGCAATGTAGTCTGATAGAGTACGCGCAACTTCTCCACCACAGAGATACCCCCGTCGGCTCGACCCCGCATCGGAATCTATCCATACTAACTCCAATGGCACCACCATCTTATCAAGCGGACAACGTCCGACTGCATCGGATAATGACTGAAGATGCATATGCTGCGATAAGCAAACGGACTACTCTTCTGAGACGGCCGACTCTCATGGAGTTGACCGAGCTAGGTAGACGTTCCGTCTGACCAGCACTATAAGAGAGGCCCTGCTGCCCTTCCACCTCTACCTTGCAACATCAACACAAACCACAGAAGAAGAAATTCACCATGGAAATCCCCCTGCCCGAACCCTTCGCCTCCATCCCCCGCTACAGCCTCACCCTAGGCC